TCAACTGAAATTATGGATTTCATTTTCAGTTACTATTAAACTCACATTTGTCATATAATTTTCCCTATATTTTGTAAACAGTTCCTTTATACAGTTATACAGTTTTATATTTTAAGACCATACCCTATTCTTTTCATGCTTTCTGCCTCTTTATGATGTTTAAATAGTATCAAAGAGAGTTACATACTCATAACTTGATGTAACAAACTCTCTAAAGAATTTTAGGCACTTTACTAAACGAATTTAATATACACAAAAACTAAAATATTATAAAACTGACTTAAACTGTTGTATCATTTATCATGTTTGCAATTGGCATTAATTTTTAAAATTAGCTTTATTTTCAAAATATGGTATATAGAGGAGTTCTTTAATCAGACTATTTTATGAACTAATTGTATAGACACACTTACTTTGAATAAGTTCTGTTAAGGATCATGCACGAACTCAGTTAATGCACAATAATTTAATATATTCATTATAATGTAGATTTTTTGTGGCAGCAGTGATGTTTTGTTTACATATGCTTTGAGTGTGATAACACACGCGATGTTTCTTCTTTGATATGTTTAGAATGCTAAATAAATAAGTTCATTGTTGATTAAAAAGGTTTTCTCTGCGAAATATATTTAAATTTGTCCGAAGTTATTAAAGTAAGTTAAGAAATTGATTAATTTCAAACAATTGGCGTCTTTGACAGGATGAAATGGCTTGAAGAAAATGACACATCGAGTTCATATTGGAATTTATCAAGTGAGTTTATGATTTATTTGATTATATCCTTAGACATATCGAATTTAAAATCATGGAAATTTTATTACAAAAGCGTAAGCCTCTAAGGCAGTCATTTACGATTAATGCCAATGCTTTTAGATGCTGAAATTCTAAAGCCTGACGTGGAGATTAATCAACTCCAAGTATTGAGCTCGCAATTGGAATGTAAATTCAATAGATTAGATGAAGTTCAATCACAAATTTCCAAACTTTTGTTGGAAAGTGAAAAGGAAAGTGAATATTTGGCTGATTTTGAGACGAATGAAACATATCATAATAAATATATCAGTTATAAACCAAAAATAGTAAACATAATGGTGAATTCCACTCTTGTAATTACACTTGGAACTTTAGAAAATTCCACAAAGAAGAACTTTAAATTACCAAAGTTGGAGCTTCAAAAAATTCAATACGTTCAAAGACCCGAAATTGGTTAGAATTTTGGAGACAGTTTAAGATCGACAAAGATGTAAATATAGATGACGATAATAAATTTCAGTACCTATTGCAAGCAACTGTCGTTGGATCCCCAGCGAGAAAGCTGATAGAAAGTTATCCTCCCTCAGGTGCAAATCATAAAGAAGCTATCAAATAACTAAAATCTCGATTTGCACATGATGATTTACTAGTAGAAATCTATGTTCACGAATTATTAAAGTTGGTTTTGGCTCAAGCGGGCAAAATGGGAAATATATAACTCTATCCAACTTATATGATAAGTCAGAGACACAACTCAGAGCTTTGGAAACATTGGGGGTAAAAAGTAAGATTTATGCAGCTATGTTGTATCCCCTTGTAGAGTCTTCACTACCTGAAGAAATTCTGAGGGCATGGGAGCGATCTTGCCAGCATAGGGAAAGTTTTGCACACACAAAATTTGGAAAATTTATTACATTCTCTCTGAATTGAAGTTGAAAGTGAAGAGCGTCTTCAGTTGGCCCATACAAGTTTTTCTGCTCCAGACAAAGTTGACTCAGTTCCAGCCACAGTAGTTTGTATTTATGCAGGAGATTCAAAGAAAAAACAGCTTAATTTTTGTGTTTGGTGTGACAAGGAAACACCTAACTCTTATGAGTACTTTAAGCTGCACAGCCTTTCATTGGAAGATAAGAAAATTTACTAAGGAAGAACAAAGCTTGTTTTAACTGCCTAAAAATTGGACATGTTGCCAAAAAGTGTAAAAGTTCTGTGAAACGGCTATTTTGCAGCAAACGTCATGTAACGGTGATGTGTAGAGAACTAAAAGGTTCTAGAAGTTAAAAAATGGAAGCACCGAAAGTAGCTAACGAAACGAGTGAGACTTTATCGTCTAACCAAAAACTGCAAACAACTCTTCTCCAAACTATTATGGCGAAAATTGTCCATAAATGAAGAACAGAACTTATGAGAATGATTTTTGACAGTGGTCACAAAGACCTTACTTACAGAAAGACATAATAAAGAGACTAGATTTAGTCCCATTCGATCAAGAGAGTTGAGTCACAATCTATTTGGTGGAGTTGAAACTGAATCTCAGGTTAATGGTATTTTTGCTATTGAAATACAAGGTACGGAAAATAAATTCAAATACGAATTATCAGTTTTAGATAAAGACAAAATTTGTGGATACATTCCTATAGTGAAACTCAAACATATATGTTCCTCACTTCAAGAACATAAAATCAAAATCAGTGATTCTGGTAGCACTAGATATTGGACTGTTAATAGGAGCCAACTATTCCGGACAGTTGATGACGAATAATATCATTCCAATTGACAAAAACCTTATTGCCATTGAAACAAAATTGGGTTGGACCCTACAAGGCCTGGTTAAAAATCATAATACCTTGCTTGATACCGTCGGACTTTGCTATTTGGATCTCACAGAACTGTGGAATTTAGAGACAACTGACATTAAAGATCTGGCAGAAGTGAAGACTAAGGAGAATTTAGACACTGAAACGATCGAATTTTTCCTAGAAAACATTAAAGTAATTGAGGGCAATAGGTATGAAGTCTGTTTGCCTTGGAAAGATAGTCATCAGATTCTCAGAGATAATAAAGCAGAAAAAAAGACATTTCACCAACACACAATGCAGAAGATGGGATTTTTCGAAGAATATGATGGTATTATTAAAGGCTGGCACGAGGACGGTATAATTGAAACAGCACCAAATAATAGTGATACTAGTCACTATTTATCTCATCAAGCAGTAATCAAGGATTCCAGTCTGACTACAAAAGTGCGACCTGTATTTGATGCATCCTTGAAGGATGAAAATGGGAATTCCTTGAATGCTTGCTCGAAAAGGGGCCAAATTTAATAGAAATGCTTCCAAAAGCTTTGATGCAAATCCGGCAACATGCAGTTGGTGTTACTGCGGATATAAGGAAAGCTTTCTTACAAATCAGTTTGTGTACTAGAGACAGAGACTTTTTGAAATACCTGCAGTCGAAAGATTCAAATCAAACTGAAATTGTTACCTACAGACGTTGTCGTGCCGTGTTTGACATTTCTTCGAATCCGTTCCTGTTGGGAACAATGATTTCCTACCATTTGGATAATGCTTCACAAGCTTTAAGAGGAACGGCGATTGAAGAAATCATTTCATGTCGACCATTGTATAGCTAGTTTCGAAACCAAAAAAGGAGTAGTCAAGTTCAAAGTAGAGTCCCAAACTCTAATGTTTTCAGAAAGTTTTTACCTTAGAGCGTGGACTGCTGCATCATTTAAAGGGAGAAGCATGACTTCCTATCAGAAGATCATTCTAATTCTGGGACTCTCATAGGACATCGAGAATGATGAAATTTATTGCAATTTAACCATTTTGACATTTTCTGAGAGTGACCACACGAAATGATCTCTGCTGTCTCACAGAGGATATTCGACTCCATCGGATTTACTAGTCCAACTATGTTAATTCCAAAACTCATCTGCAAAAAACATGGAAAATGAAACTTTCCTGGGATGAAAATCTTCTACAAGGTATAGAAAGAGAATTTCAGGCTTGGCTCAAACGACTACACTTCTTGAATTATTGTAAAATTTCAAGAAGACTTGTGACTGGACCCTTTGATGCTCTATCACTCTACATTGTTTTAGTGATGCTAGTAAGGTATCTTATGAGGCATGCATTTTCTTACGTGCATATGTTGAGGACAAAACTTCAGTACAATTGGAATTATGTAAATCAAGAGTAGCACCTGCCAAAGAAGTAACTACTCTTAGAATAGAGTTGCTTGGAGCACTTATAGCTACTCTGTTGTATCATCAAGTCATTGATGCTCTTAAATTGACAAAGTGCCAAGTGTACCTTTGGAGTGACTCGTCCATAGTTCTGCCATAGATAAAAACATATTCCCACTGGAGTGATTTTGTGGCAAATCGTGTAGCTGAAATAAGGAGATGCACAAATCTGGATGACTGGGGGACATTATATACCAAGCTCAAGCAATCCAGCTGATATTCCCTCTAGAGGGTGCGATGCCAAAATGTTGCTACAGAGCAGATGGTGGAAGGGGCCGGATTGGCTTAAACAATGGCCTCTCTCTGAAGAGTCAGAACTAAAACCTGATGAACTGAGTAGAGAATATGTTTCAATTATTTCCATTTGTCCGAAGTTATTAAAATAAGTTAAGAAATTGACTAATTTCAAACAAGTTCTATAATCTGTTTGCCATATGCAGCTTTTGACTTTTATCTTATAAACACAAATGTGGCTCTACATTCATTTGGTTCTTTATAACAAGAGATTTGCACAACAAGAAAGAGTACATTTTCTCAAAAAAAAAAAAAAAAAAAATGTCTTATTATGGAACTCAGAGTTAAGGTTATGGATGAACTTATTCCTTTTTCTCTTTAAAATTAGTTACTTCTAAATTTCTACTGTGTCATTTTCTTTACTGTATTTTTCACTTTTAATAATTCTTGATGTTATATATATTTGTTTTTTCAGAAGGTCATGGAAAAAAAATTTTTTTTTTTTTTAGTTAGACATATATTTTCAATCCCTAACTTGCAATTTTTTTGAAAAAAAAGGGGAGGGAAGAAACATATATAATTACACTATTTATATATAATTACTTAATCATGGATAACAATGTCTACAAAAACACATTGCAAGGTCACATTATAAATAAGACTATTTTGATGAAAGGAATGACAATACTTAATTACATCAAAAAACTGCAAAACACATAATGATTAATTTACATAAAAATTAAAAAGAAACAAAAGAATAATTTACCTCATACACCATGATATTTGGAGTTAGAATTTCTTCAATATCTATTTTAGTCATGATATATGGCTTACCATCAATTGCATTATAACCAATTAAGAGTAACTGAGAACTAGCTACAATAGAGTTCTGAAATAGAATTTTATGAGAGAAACTGGCATGAGTATATACACAAAAAATATAGCAAAGTATATGTAAAATATTATCTATTCATCATTTACAAACAATGTTAAATGTTAAAGAATATTACTGCTCATACATTAATCTTTTATTTTATTTATTTACCCTGCTCCCAATTCATAGTTGATAATTAAAAAATTCTTTTTACTATTACAGTGGTGGCCAAAATTGTGGACACTTTTGGAAATTTTTATGCTTTTGAACTTTGTATGCTTATAGAAAACGTTACGTTTCATAAAATGCAAACTTGTATATATCATTTTAAAGAGAATTTATTACTAAATTCAATACAAAACACAAAATTCAATTATTTGCAATACAAAAAAAGTTAAATGATAATAGTTATCGATATACATTAGATAGTGATGATTGCAGTGAGTTATCAGTACTTAGCAGGGTACCCTTTATTTTTTATTAAAGCTTCACATCGGCGTTTCATTGAGCTGACAAGAGTTTTAAGCTCTTCTTTCGTTATTACATGATGCCAGGAAACAATTATAGCCTTAATTAGTTCCCTTTTATTTGATGGGCGCCTCGTTCGGACAAGAGTTTTCAAACAGTGCCACAAATTTTCGATAGGATTGAGGTCAGGACTGTTTCCTGGCCATGACAACAATTTAATGCTCTTTGTACGAAACCACTCTTTCAATATTTTGGCTGTGTGGCAAGGAGCAGAATCCTGCTGAAAAATAAACGAAGCATTGTTGGGAAAGAGATCTCTGATGAAAGGTAGAAGTTTTGGTTCTAGAATAGTGTCAATGTATTTTCTGGCATTCAGTGTCCCATTGATGACATGAAGGCGACCAATACCATCTGCTGACATGCATGACCAAATCATAACACTAACTTGGTTCTTCACAGTTGCTTGAATGCAGTCGGGATGTAGCTCTTTTCCTATTCTACGTCTTACATATTTTCGCCCCTCACTACTGAATAACGATATCTTAGTTTCATCACTCCATATGACTCGTGACCACTGATCATCTGTCCAATTAATGTGTTCCTTTGCCCACTGTAGTCTTTTTTTTTCCGTTGCTGAAAATTAAGATAAGGCTTTTTTCGTGGAATTCTACCTCTCAGTCCAACATCTGTTAATCTTCTCCTGATTGTTCTTGAACTGACAGAAACACCAGCATCATTCAGATCACTTCTGATGGCCGCTGATGACATTTTTCTATCTTGGAGACATAGTCTTTTTATTCTTCTGTCATCAATAGATGTGGTGCACCTTTTTCAGCCTTTTCCTTCTTTGTTTTTTATTGAATTTGTCTCCTGATACCGTAAGCAAAACTTTCGGACTCCAGATTTACTCACTGAACCCCCCACCTGTCTTGCAATTTCAGCATAGGAAAGACCACTTTCTCGTAACACAATAATATTACATCTCTTTCTAGGTGCCCAATCAACTCTTTTACTTGATATCATTGCTTCTTGACTAAATATTAAAAAGTTTTACAAAAATTCTTACTTGTAATTGCAGTGTATAAGAAACAGGTCCTCCTTCTACAGAACAAAGAAAATAATGAATTGTTTCAAGTGTAAACATGATGCCAGCTTCTAATGGCAGTTAGTAACATTTGATTGGTTCTCAGAACAAGAACAAATGATTGGCCAGGAAAGCTAGACATTACAAACTACTTCATAACTGTGTTTTTTATTTATATTAAAAGTACATATAACCTTCTTTGTATAGCAAAATAATTGAATTCTGTGTTTTGTATTGAATTCAGTAATAAATGCTCTTTAAAATGTTATATACAAGTTTGCATTTTGCGAAACGTAACATTTTCTATAAACATACAAAGTTCAAAAACATAAAAATTTCTAAAAGTGTCCACAATTTTGGCCACCACTGTATGTACAGCTGACTTTAGTAATCATACTTTTTTTTTTTTTTTTTTAACTGGCCAAGTAAGAAAACTATGGAATAGAATATTGATTGTTAAGATGTACTTCCTGCATCTTGGTTTCAAACCAATTACAATATTTCTCAACAACAGCAATATAATTATCTCTTTAAATATATTTACACAATCCAATTTATTGACAAATTATATGTTTTTAATTCTGTTTTATATATGTGTACATATACTGCTTAAAACAAGTAGAAGCTATTATGATTTTAGATATAAACTGTGGCTGAGGAAATGTTTTGGTGGCTGATATACCATGTATAGGATGTGTAAGATACAAGAAAAGAAAAAGAAACAATGAACATAGAATAATTAAATTTTCTTGATAATATTTTTTGGTAAATAGAAAATGCACAACTTGTGCATACCATGCAAACAAACAAAAAATGTGACTTCTTGGATACAAATGAGTTTTAATAAGGGATATGTTTTCCCCTGACTGAAAGTGATTTCAAACACCTACAAAACTAGGAATCTATGAGGTTATAATTAGAGATTGTGGTATTCTCTCCTACTCCTGTAGAAGAGAGTTTCAAACTGCTGAATTGGTTCTAGAGGTGATAAGCCACTAGCACGCCTTCTTCCTAGAATATTCCAAATAGGTTCAATTGGGTTCATATGTGGAGAACATGCTGGCCAATCTATTTGAAGGATTCTTTTATCAAAAAGGAAATTGTCCACTAGCTTAGACTGGTGTGGCCTGGCCCTATCATCCATGAGAATTAATTCACCCCTACTGCTGCAGCATGAAGGACCACAATGGGTCACAGGATTTTATCCCAATATCACTGAGCTGTTAGTGTTCCATTTCTGATAATGAGGAGGTCTGTGTTGCCATCAATAGAAATACCAGTCCAGACCACCACTCCGCCTCTACCAAATTGGACACTTTCATGCACAAATACAGGGGTATTCTGTGTATCAGGTTCTTTCCAGATGAGAATCTGCTTATTGTCAAGTTATATACTAAAGTGGGACTCATCCATGAAGAGCATGTTGCTCCACTCATCTGGTTCCCATCTGAGATATTCCAGTATCCACCTTCTGCAGGTGGCACGGTGGTCCTATGTCAATGAAACATAAAGCATAGCTCTGTAAGAATACAAACACACGTGGTGAAGTCCATTTCAAACAGTATGAGTCGAAACTCTGGTACCATTAGCTCTCTGAAGATGCTGCTGCAAGAAAATATTATTCATACTTTAGTATCGTCTGGCCATTAGCATAAATACCAATCCTCATTTTGTGTAGCTACAGGCATACAGTTTGTTCCAATCTTGAGTGAACATTTCAAGTTCCCAGAACCGATTCCACAGCCTGGAAATGAAACTTTGAGAAATTCCTAACATTTCTGCTTCAGATTGAGTTTGCTGCCCAACTGGTATAGTGATTAGTGTTGCTGGCTGCCGTACCAAAGGGCCCAGGTTCAAATCCTGGAGAAGGCATGGATGTTTGTAAATGTATAGTGTCCATGCAGCATGGGGGCACTATAAATATGCGGCAAGCCGAAAGTCATCTCAAGAGGTTGGTGGTACAGGAAGAGAGGTGGGAGACCTTCGTACCCATCCCCTGGTGTTACTTCCATCAAAACTGGGGACTGAACTGAGCTAAATCGCACTGCCACCTGTATGGTGCTCAAGGCTGTTGCCAACGACAGGCATACACTTGCACTGCTTGCCAAGAGGAATTTTGTGGGCTTGGGCTGACAAGCGAGCATTAGCAACAACAACAACAGATTGAGTTTGACCAATCTCTAAACAACAGATGGCCCTCCAGGCTACTGATTCAGCTAAGTCATCTTACTGAGACATTATATTCACTGTTACAAAATATTCAATGCATGTCAATTATTATTAACCTCCTCCTACAGAAAGAATGCTGCAGGTCGTTTTTCACTCCTTATCTAAAATACGTGTAGTTTTTGAATTCACAGACAAAATTTGCTTAGTCCCACTTTGTAAATATTATGATTTTTCTTTTTAACCTCTTCCATTTCATTTTTGTTAAAAATGTTCTCCATTATATGGTTATTTCATATCTCCTAACTGTTTTAACCAGTATATATACATTTATATATATATGTGTGTGTGTGTGTGTGGTATCCATAAGTGCAACACAGCCACCAGAGGGCCTCACCTATGCGCCAGCAGCAAGAGCGAGGTGAAAGAGGAGTATGACATATGTAGAGAGTCTTCTATCCCACACGAAGGTGGTAAGATGTCTCTACGAGAAGGTGGTAAGCTGTAGGTCTCCACAAGAAAGTGGTTAAATAATCAACTGAATGTTTCCATGAGTAGGTGGTAAAATGAACTGCATAATACGACAGCAAGTGCGAGTTGGCACTAAGCTGCTATGTTATAAAATTCTAAAAGTGATAAAGATATTATATATTATGATTGATTATATCTAACAAGCACGAGAAGGCACAACAGCATTTGTATTTAATTCAATCTGTACCTTTTTCTTTATTTTTATTAAATGTTCTGTGGCGTGGAAAACGTTGAACTTCTTAATGGACCCTAGACTAACATCCTCAGCTCCCCTACTACAGAAAATCTGGGCACTCAGTCGGGATACTTGGAATTGTTATTTAGCATCTTCAACTTGCCTACTACAGAAAATCTGGGGCCTCAGCCGGGATACTTCAGAGAAGGTACTGTGAAAACTTTGCTTTATTTCTTTCTTGAAGATAGAGACACTTTTGTTTCGTTTTTAAAATGAGTTTCTTAAATAATGTAAAGAAAAGTGATTTACTGTATTTGACGGTATATAAGACGCACTGGCATATAAGACGCACGCTTATTTAGAAGACCACACACAAGGAAAAAAAGTTTCAGTAATCCACAATAACTTAAAATGTGGTTTCTTTTAGTTCTCACAATTCGTAAAAGACAAATAAACAATCATTGAATACAATTACCAAACATATTTTTATTAAGGAAAATTAACAAATGGCAAGCTATTTTGAACATGATATATAAATTTCAATAACGAATAAATGAATGAACGGCAAGCAATCAAACGCAATACAAAATA